CATCGCTCCCAACTATCCCTCCGCTTCATTCAAAACCATGGATGAGGTACTTCCAGAATCCTAAGTTTACTACAAAATGGTTCCCCGAATAATGAAGGTGTGGTTTCAGGTTGAGAAATGGCTTCATAGGTTTCAGAGTGAAGGCACCGCTGGTCTGCGCCACTGTCTTTCATTCATATGACCCCGGATTCAACCTTCGGATGGAACACACACATTGCTACTCTGACCATGACGACGGAGGTGAGTTCTCACTCAATACGGCCCATCAAGACACGCCATGCATTTGAGCTCCTCCCAGAATTTGAGTTCTCAGTCAATACGGTCCATCAAGGACACGCCATGCATTTGAGTTCCTCCCAGAATCGCGGATCATCAAATCATACTGATTTTAGGCCATTACCACACAGATACCACACCCGATACGGTCGAGTATGAAGGCTGGTTCACAGCTGCCGAAAAAATCTACCGAGTTGATCAAGTCTAGAAAGAATTCTTACGAAGCGTTCATGTTAAGGCATAATGTAAATACGCCCACTGTATTGAGAATATTCACGAAAATTAATAAATTAATTTATCTATCTCATCGATCGTGCATTTTTGGTCGCTATTTTTCATCAATATTTAGCCATTGGATTCCTGATTACAGTTATAGTCCGAAGTACACCTACCGTACATTGATGAAAAGTTATAGATAGATAGATAGTTTAGTTTATAGATACTGATTACGTGACCAAAACAGGAAACGTGGTGCGACTGCGTGCTGGGCATTCTAGTATAAACCTAGAGCGTATTCAGTCAGTGAGAGAAGTGCTGGTCGCTTTCGACCACTTCAATAAATATTAGCAATATTTTTGCTGTCGAAGGAACATTTTATAAGAATTCGGGTCAGCTCTTTCTAAAGCTATCCTTCGTCAGAATATGTACCTGTTTGGCAGCTAGAGGGTGCGCAGTTAGAGGACCTTGTCACTTAAAGGAATCTTCCACGGAAAAAGCTCCGCCTCCATTACCACAGAAAAACGATACCTTAGGCCCCTAGCCTCATGAGCATAGCAAAAAGAACGGAACATAAGCGTTAGTTTCGATAATACTAATCCTACACACAAGACAAAATGATCACTCTTTCCGTGGAAGATTCCTTTAAGGTATCGTTTTCTGTGGTAATGAGGGCGGAGCTTTTTCCGTGGAAGATTCCTTTAAGCAACAGTCCAGGTAGGTGGGCGTGAAGTCGTAAAACCGCTCGCCAGTCACCACGCCCACTTCAGACTCCTCCCTAGCGGCTTTCCAAGGTGAGTTTTTGTTCAGTCACACTTCTTACGTTCTTGACTAGGGGCTGAACAGCTCCGAAGTGGGAATCGGCCGAGGGATTGCAGCCGTTTCCGACCACGCCCACCCTGCTGGGACTGTTGCTTATTTAAAGCAAGTCTCAATCGTGCTGCGTCTTAACAGAGGACTGACGTGCCTTGCTCCATCCCTAACACTCTCCTTCAGCCTAGATCCCAAAGAAAGTAGTTGTCTCCAGGAGTTTGGTTTTGTTTTTCTAAATTGACTTCATACGTGCGTGCAATTTTTACCGCAAACATTCCTCCCAATGAATTTGTACTTTGTGGAGTGAACGGAGACCATATCAATGTGAAGTTCTAGCGATGTTCCAAAAAGATGAGCAATTGAACGTTTATCCAATTAAGTATTTCAGTCCGAAAGCACAGTATGATGTCGGGTGGTTGAGGTGAAGTCACCCTTTGACGTGGTGGAGTTCCACACATAAATGGGCTGCTCCACGAATGATACGAAACAGAACGAGTCGTCACAGTTGTGAGTGCCTTCCAGTTCAAGCAGCAGCAGTGAATTGTCGCCAGTTCGAAGAAAAGCCGCTGGCACGTAGAGTGTGTACTGTAAAACTCTATCGTTATACTCTAAAGGTTTCAGAAAGGCCCGTAAGAACCTCTACAACTACTTCTCTCCCCATACCTGCGGTCCCTGGCTCGCCCAGTATCGTCCCAAATTGTTCCCGTTCAATATTGCCACTCCTTTCCCCCAAGCTGTCGTGTTCAAAAATGTGTCCGTTGGTGTATCCACATGGAAGACACCATGGTACACGCCATATCTGCCTGCTGCTTGCTGAAAAGTAAACTGTGACAACTCGTGCATTTGTACTTTGATTTTTTTCTTTCTTGTTCCCATCGTCCAAAAATAAGAACCAACACCATGAAGGTGTGCGCTATTCATCCAGGATCAATTCTGGCATATTTTTGAAGGTTTTTTTTTACATGAGAGCAAAAATGTAGAGAAACCTATGGGCTCACGAGGGCTCTCAGGCTCAAGCTAAGCGGGAAGAAGTCAACGTAACCCCTATGAGCCTATACTAAGCTCCCTTGGCCGAGGATGGGGAGAAACCTGCTCAACTATCTGCTCGCCTGACTGAGACTACTTCAACAAAGAGGAAAATTGTGAAGTACAGGCTAAATATAACAACAAACCTTTGCCGGATTGGAGAAAGTATTTCATAAAAATAAAACAATTGAAAGGAATCTAAAGGGACGGCCGGAGAATCACAGCCGGCCCTAGATGGGAAAAGGCCAAAAGCGATTTCGCTTGGTAGGCGCGGGGTGTCAATATGCATGCCCATGGGAACGTTGCCGTTTTTTAAAGCAACAGTCCCAGCAGGGTCTGCTTCTTTCAATACTAATGGCACTAAAGGATGCACAGGCCCTATTGGAGAACATCTGAAGTGTAGTTATAAAGAAAACTCACCTGGGAAAAGCCCAAAAAGGGCGTTAAACTCCTCAAAGATGGGTGTGGTTGGAAATTCTTCGGGACCGCCCACTTGCCAGCCGTGATTGGCTGCGGAGGCATTCGTGCTCGTTTTGGGACCACAGGGAGTATTTGAACTCTGTCCTTTAAAGTAATCAATGTGATCCTGCCTGTTGCACTGGAATTGTTTCTTTTTTGTTGTTGTGATGTTGTTATGTTATGTATAGTGTTATGTAATTATGTTAGTGTTATGCAACTGGAGCGCATTTAGTGCGGGCAAGTTCAGACAACTCGTCCAACGCGCGTCTTCCCACATCGCTAAGCGGCAGAAGGGGAGTCCCTGTTTAAAGCCCTGTTCGGCGTTTTTCTTGGTTTTTTCGTCACTATCGGTCAAATTGTCGCCTATAACTACATTATCAACGGTATTTACCCCGCAAATTCGTCCTGGGATTGTTGCTTTAACGATCAGCCCAAATCTGCTCATGGTCAGTTCTAGGAACCTTTAGCCTTCATGGTATAGAGAAGATAGCTCATGAAACAGATGACGCTATTATTGTTAGTGCCACCTTCTTTATCCAGGCCACAGCTGGAAATTTCTATTAAAGAGGATTCCATTTTATATTAAGTAGAACTCAACTTCGAGCGTTCGGCAACGATCGACCACAGTCAAAGTCGCCAAGGAGTATTCTGGTAGTTCATTATTTAGAAACTGTCCAAAAGCAGTAAGAAAGGTAAATGATCCGGCCTTGCTGAGAAAAGAGCCAGTTCCGAAAGAAAACTTTAAAAGCGCATCCGAGGTGACTGTAAGCTCTTGTCTCCGGTGAATTAGTTTATGTGGTAATTAATCAACCTAAAGATATTATTAAGTAAAATAAATAAATTCAAGAAAGTAAACGACTGCGCTGCGCGACTGTGCGCAAGCATTGCAACCACGGGTGTCCGCCCCACTTCTCACATTATATGAAAGCTACTCTATACTTTTTTAAAGCGCATTTTTCATGTGATTGAACACTGATGTTGACGCATAAATGCCTTTACCAATTTCTGTCACAAGAAGAGAAACGATCGGTGTTTGAGGACGACAACCATGATTTTTAGATATCACCAAGAGCGGCTTTTTCGCCACCTATCGAGAGGGCGTGTAAGAATATCTGCGACAACACAGAGAAAAAATCCACCACTTACCCCATTGGCGAAGCTGTTCGGGAAATTGGCCTCGAGATTGAGTTTGCACTGAGTCCAGTTACTGAGAACCGAGTTGTCCATTGTGACATCGGAAAGGATACCCTTTAAAAAATTGTTCAGGTTACTTAAAGCTTCACTGAATAATTTTGCAATTCCGACT